GAATGGAGAATGGGGGAAGAAAGGGTCTGAATCCTCCCTTTAAGGACTCTTCCATTCCTTTGGCCAGTCATAGTCACATGGCCAAGCCTAGCTGCAAGGGAAGCTGGGAAATGTAGTATCTATTCTAGGCAGCCATGTACCCTGCAAAAAATGAGGCACGGCGGCAGCCTAGCAGTCTATGTTGTGTGTGTGTTTGCCAGGGGTATGCTTTCTAATCCCACAAGGTAATTCCCATTCGTGCCCAAGAGTCCTGTCTCTAATCTCCTTAATCATGCAATCTCCATACCACACCTTCTCTGCCTCCTGGACTCACATTTGACTCCAGGATCCCCCAGCATACAAGCACCCAGTGTGATATGAGAATGGAGAGGCCTTACAGTGAGGATTCATTTGCCTTTGTCATTGTGAGCTCAGACTGACAGGGCTGGGCCAAACACTGTACCCACATTTATACCCCAAATATACAACAAATATTTGCCAGCCATGTACCCAGAAGATGTCACTGGAGCTCTGCAGTTAGCCTTGATGGTTTCCAGCCTTAGGAAACAGGATTCGTTACATAGTGCCTCTTCCCCACCTTCCAATAATGTGACCTGGGGTACCTCCAGCTTTGGGGAATTTCCCCTGAGGTTCCACCCTGGGGTCAGATCTGAGGAATCTGTTAACTCCCATGTAAGTAGCTGAGGTTCTCACACTTGCTCTGACCACTTGGACCTTCTGGTGCTCTCTGTAGAACACCAGGAAGTGGCCAAAGATATAATCCAAGTTCATGAACTCCGCTCTCTTTCTCTGCCTTCCTTCCCTCTTCTCACTCTATTGTATGTATCTAGGTCACTGCTTCTCAGACAACAATACATAAACTATTTTAAGAAATCACATTTCTGTTCTTCTATTATTGTTTGCTCTGTTCTCATTCATTTTGAAATCTCTTACTCATCAGCAGATAAGCTGTAGTAAGTGCCAAACATTTAGGAGAAAAATATCTATTCACTTAATTTTTCCTCCCAATTAAGGAAAGACAGGCATCACTTAGTTTTGGCTATGGGACTTCCTGGCCCAACTCAAGGAAAAGAGGTGTTTTAAGGTGGCAATGACTGAGAAGCTCTGGGGCAGAGGGTTAAGAGGAGAGGAAGACAGCAGAGAGGAAGGGGGACCTCCCAGGCTGGGGTGTTGATTTATCTTTTGACGTAGTGGGGCCAGATGTCATGGAGGCGGAAAGCTCTCTATCCACTCACTTCTTACTCCTCTCAAAGGAAACCATATCATGTTCCAGGACATTCAAATGGCTATAGTTTCTTGTGGGCAGGGATCACAGACATCAAGCTCCCACACTTGAGTGTACTGTTGCAGATTTTTTGTTCTCATTCTCGTTTTGAAAGAAGAGAACCGACCCAGTGGCTGGACCCAGGCAACAATCATTTGTTATTTGTTACCTATCGTTGCATAATGAAATACCCCAAAGCTCAGTGGCTAACACATCATTTCTTACTTCACAGTCTCTGTGTGTCAGGAATCCAATCACAGTGTAGCTAGGTCCTGTGGCTCTGGGTCTCTCACAAGGTTGCTGTCAAGGTGTTAGCTGAGGCCGCGGTCATCTTCAGGCTTGACCGGGGTGGATCTGTTTCCAAGCTTCCTCAAGTGGCAGTTGGCAGGTTTCGGTTCCTTGCAGGCTGTTAGACTGACAGTCTCAGTTCTTCACAGGCTTTAGCCTGAGTCCTGCTCAGGTTCCTTGCCACACAGACCTCTCCATAGGACAGCTTGTAGCATGGCAGCTGTCTTCATGAGCATGAGCAAGCGAAAGGCAAGACAGAATGGAAGCAAGATGGAAGTCATAGTCTTTTGTAATCTAATCTTAAAATTAACAGTCTCGGGGCACCTGGGTGGCTCAGTCGGTTAAGCGTCTGCCTTTGGCTCAGGTCATGATCCCAGGGTCCTGGGATCGAGCCCTGAGTCGGGCTCCCTGCTCAGCAGGGAGTCTGTTTCTCCCTCTCCCTTTGCCCCTCCCCCTGTTCATGTTCGCTCTCTCTCAAATAAATAAATTAATAAAATCTCTAAAAAAAAAGCCTCTTCCTTTGCCATCTTCTGCTGGTTAGAAGCAAGTCACTAGGTCCAGGTCACATTCAAGGGGAGGCAGATTACACAAGGCATATTTGGGAAGTGGGGGTCACTGGGGTCATTTAGGAGGCTGTCTACCACACTTGCCATCTATTATTATTGGAGAGATATAAAAGTTATATTTGCTGATGATTAAAGGATTCCTATTTCACAAAAGATAAATCAATCTCTCTCCTCTCTCTTGTTTCTTCACACATAACAGCAACTCTTTAGTTCTTATTGCTCTGAGCTCAGGGAGCAGTTAGTGGTAACATGTAAGTTGAGAGAGAAGGAGAGGCTCTGCTTTAAGCCTTAGGACAAAGCCAGGGACCCCAGTCTGGTTTCCTGTGCCAAGATCCTGCTGGAAGTCATCTTGTGGGGACAGCTGAAGTTCCCTTGTCTTGTAATTAGCAGTCTGGCTGGCTAACTGTCATCTACCAGCAAGCCAGCCCCTACCATAGTCCCATCCGAGGGAAACTAATTAGTTGCCTTTTTGGTAAAATTCTCTGCTTTCCTTCCCTCTTCTCACTCTATTGTATGTATCTAGGCCACTGCATCTCAAACAACAATACATAAACTATTTTAAGAAATCACATTTCTGTTTTTCTATTATTATTTGTTTGCTTCTTGCTCATTCATTTTGAAATCTGTTACTCATCGGCAGAGAAGCTGTAGCGAGTGCCAAAGGTTTCCCACCCCGGAGAACTCCCTCTCTTTCCTCTCCTCCCCTTTCCCCTTCAGAGATTCAAGGCAAGCCTCTCTCTTCTATAAAGCCTTCTCAGAATCAATGGAAAAGATGGAAATTTCCTTGGAAATGTAATTGCCTGAAGGTAAAAAAAGGTAAAGAAACAAGCTAACCATCTGAGAGGAAGCCTGAGGGAAGAGATATGATGGCAACTAGCAGCTATGAAATTTCTCTTTTCTTTGAAAGCGAACCTCTGTAGGGGGAGACAGATGCATCTAGCTGCTGAGCACACAGTAGGTATTCCATTAGTCCTGGTTGATCGATGCCACCTGGGGTGGTTCTTAAATGTTCTTAAATGTTCACAAATTCTTTGCCACTCTTCCCTTCAAAAGGTAGAGCCTAGGGGCACCTGGGTGGCTCAGTCAGTTAGGTGTCTGACTCTAGATCTCAGCTCAGGTCTTGATCTCAGGGTTTTGAGTTCAAGCCCCATGTTGGGCTCCACATTGGGCATGGAGCCTACTTAAAAAAAAAAAAAAAAGATTAAAAAAAATTTAAATGTAAAAAAAGAGCCTAATTCTCCCTTCCTTAAATGTGGGCTTTATCAGAGAATCACTTCTAATGAATAGAAAGTAGTGGAGTGATAATGTACGACTTCTGAAGTTAAGTCAGAAAAATTATTGCAGCTTTTGCCCCGCTTTCTCTTGGATGATTCACTTCTAGGGGAAGCCAGAAACTGAGGCCTCCTGCCAAAAGCCAGCATCAACTTGTCAGCCAAATAAATGAGCCATCTTGAAAGTGGATCCTCCAGCCCCAGTCAAGCCTTTGGATAACTGCAGCCCTGGGCAAAAGTTTGACAACAACCATAGCTTGACCGAATCAGCACCGCTCAGCTAATTGCTTCTGGATTCCTGTGAGAGCCAACAAATGCTTACTGCTCTTTTAAATTGCTAACAGGAAGAGAGCTGGAGGGACATTGCAGGAGGAAAAGGTTTTTGCTTCCTGGTTCTACTGTGTGTAATTGGCAAGTTCCTGCAGAGCAAGCACCTTCACCTGTGCCCGGTGCCTGGAGCGACCAGCAGCACCAGCAGCTAGCAGCTTCTCCTGGCACTACCCACCTTGGGCAGTCATGTAAGCAGAGTGCCTCCACTTCCTGCAGCGTTTGCAGCTTCTCCCGCACCCAGCACAGGCTGTATACTTGGCTTCTCCGGCATAAGGCTCCTGCAGCACTCACAAGGTCTTGAGCACCAGGCTTCTGCAGCACATAGAGGCCAGCAGCGCCCAATGGGCAGCAGCTTCCACAGCCCAGTGGAAAAGAGAGAAGGGCACTGTAGCCAGGGGGAACACTGTATCAAAAGCTTAGAGGCAAGACCACACGTGGTAGGATTAGGTCAGCAGGGACTACTAATTCACTCCAGTTTGGCTGGAGAAGGGATTTTATATGGTAGGCTAATGGCAAGCAATACGACCAGATCCTGAAGGACCTTAAATACAAAGCTAATTCATTTGGTGCTATCATGTTAAAAAAGGGGGCCAGTGACCATGTGTTGGAAGCTAAAACTCAACCTACTTTTGGTGTAAGGACAATTATACTTGTCAGATCATGAGACTTAGCTTTGGGGCTGAAAAGGAGTTCACCATGACAGTAGGAAACCCCTGAATGTTTTTGAGAATCATGCAATGTGGGGTTCTGAGATTAGCCTGGAATGTGTTGGGCTGGAGAAAATGGAGAACAGAAGTAGAAAATGATACCCAAAAGTCCTGATGTAGGGAATAGGGTAGCAGCAGTTTAAAGTGAAGAACTTGGAGAGATGTGGGATGTTCGGGATGGCTGGTTGGATGTGGTGAGTTGAAGGTGATGCCCAATACTTAGCTGGTGACATGGGAACACGGGAGCTGGATGAGGGGTAGATAGGATGATGTTGGCTTTTAACAAGTTCCACTGCGGTGACTGCAGTGTATCCAAGAAGCAGGAAGGGACAGCCTCAGGCCTGAACTCAGGAGAGAGACAAGGGCTGATGATTCAGATCTGGAAGCGATGTCTACTCAGGGTGACAAGTCAAACTTTGGGAGATGGTAATGAGGCTGGCTCTCTGTTCAGCCTACCCTCATCAACAACCCTCCCCCAACCCACCCAAGGGATGAAGTCCTGGGTCAGGAATTCAGTGGGGACAAATATCCTCAAGTAGTTCAGTCCTAAATGGACCCCTAAAAGCCAGAAGCACTGTCTTTCCCACCTACCACAGATTCTGGCTTAGAATCTATGGTCCACTCCCATGGGGCCCAGGCCAAGGAATAGGAAAGCAAAAAGCCCAAGACTAGGGGGTTCTAACCCTATTTCGGCCCCAGACCAATCATGTAACCTTGAGCAAGTCACTTTCCCTCTTTGGGTTTGTTTTTTCCTTCAGCAAAATGCCAGGGTTGGCCTTGGACTAGACTGTGGTTTTTAAATCCTGCCTCTGAAGAACAACAGGGTTCCAGAGCTGGGCCAACATGTTCTTCCTCCCGAATCAAGTAGTAGCAGATGGAACAGCTCCAATTTTAGGGTTTTCTCCATAATGTTTTCTTAAACCAGTAGCAACCACTATTGCTTGTTTTCCAGCAAGGGCTCACAGATAACACAATGAATGAACAAGTGGGAAATGCAATGAAAATAGGTGAAACTGGGAAAATCTGAAAATAGGTGACCATATTTTGTTTGACAGTCTTCTTGTTTCTGGAGACTTCACGGTTATGGTTTCATATTACTCACAGAGACACTCTGGTTTCTAAAGCTAAGTTCCAGTGGCATTTCAGGGTGCTTCATAGAGGGTTCTGGGACTCCCCAGTGCCTGTAACCCAAAGAGACTGGAGAAACATCAGACTTGGTGCTCTAAGGACCTCTCCAGTGTTAATCTTTCACTCTCTCAGTCTTTGATCTTTGCACGCAGAACACTGCGTCTTACATTCATTAATTCCTATAATCCCCATATAATCCTCCCAACAGCCTCATGACATAAGTACTATTATTATATTAATTTTACAGGTGAAGGGAGCACTGAGGCCCAAATAGGGTTAATGGCTTGCCCAAGGTCACACAGCTAGTAAGTGACAGAGCTGGGATTTGAACCTGACAGTCTTATTCCAAAGCTCTCTCTTCCAGTATGCCTGCAGTCTCTGTCATTAATGCTGTCACCAAATACTTTCAGTTCTTCCTTGGACACATGGTAAGACTCATCTTCCCTACCCCCTTTGGCTAGTGAAATGTGAGCAGAAGTAGTGAGCTTCATTTCTGGTGTAACTTTTAAGAGCCAGGGATCACTGCCACATTCCCTGTTCCTTCTCTAGGAGTTAAGGATACACAATAAGAGCCACTCTCAGCCTTGGGCACTGAGAGAAGATGATTTGGAAAAGACACCTGTCCCCCCACCCCCAGCTGACCTGCTAGGGGCTATGATAAAGAAATAACCTTGTCATTTTTTACCAGTAAGATTTGGAGGTTATTTGTTACTGTGGCACAGCCTAGCTCGTCCTGAGGAATCCAATGCAATACCATCTCCTGTTGATTATCTTTGGTCTCAGTTCCCAAACATGCCTTCTCTCTGAAACTCCCTGAAAGCATTGGCTCCACACTCAAATTTGAAAAAGAGCAAGAGGAGAAGGCAATCTGTCCCCAAAAACAGGGAAGTGGGGATGTGTTTTGGGAGATGCGCCCATACTTCACCATGCTCTGGGTAGGGATTATGCTGGATAAAATCTACACCCAGCCCCTTGAAGACCCTAGACAGAAACTGCTTCAAGCTTTTCTCCCATAGTCATTTATTGGCTCTCCTTAATTTTATTCCCCACTATTAAAGTAGGAATAACTGGGCCGGCAGGAGGAGGGCTGGACTCCCACATCCTGGGAGCACTGCAGGCTGACTATGACCTTGCAGGCCTGGATCTGAACCTCCTCCTCAGGGTGGATGACCAGGGCGAGCAGCCGGTCTGCCAGTCGGGACTCATCCCCAAAGAGAGCTTCATGAAGAGATTGTTCATTGTAATGCCACTTCACGACACGGTAGTGGGGTGAATTCTGGCCCTCACTTAGCCGCTCAGCAAACACCAGTACCTCGAACAGCAGACTCCCTGGTTGGGTGGACTGAAACAGGTTCAGGAAGTTGGAGTGCACCTGTGATGGGAATAGAGCGACAATGACAAAGAAATCCAAGACAAGTTCTGAGGTTCTTCTTCCATCTTCCTATTGCCGCAACTCCCCAGTACACCTAAGTTTCAGATTCAACTGTATAGGAATTTTTTAGTTTTCCTTTCATTATCATTCTCTAACATAATTGCACTGTGGTCATAAAACATGAGAGACAGGATCATCATATTGATTCTGGGAAATTGGTTGAGTCAAACATTAAAGCTTAGCATGTGGCTGATTTTTATAAATATTTTGTGTGCTTGAGAGGAATATACACTTAACGAATTGTAAAGTGTTCTAGATGTGTCTAATGGCTCAGGCTTATTTATATTATTCACAGTAAATATACCCTTACTGGTTTTAGGTTTTTATCTATTAATTGCTGAAAAAATACATCTCCCAAATCTTCCATTGTGATGGTAGATGTGTCAATTTTTCCTTATAATTATTCACCCATGAGAAAGAAGGAAATCCTGTCATTTGTGACAATATGGATGAACTTTGAGGACATTATGCTAAGTGAGATAAGCCAGACAGAGAGAGGCAAATACTGCATGGTATCACTTATTGGTGGAAACTAAAAAAAAAAAAAAAGTCAAACTCAGAAACAGAGTAGGAAAGTGGTTGCTAGGGGCTGGGAGTGTAGAAGAAATAGGGAGACTTTGGTACAAGGGTATAAACTTTTAGCTATAAATCGAACAAGGTGTGGGGATGCCTGGGTGGCTCAGTCGGTTGAGCGTCTGACTCTTGATTTTGGTTCAGGTCATGATCTCAGTGTCCTGAGATCGAGTCCTGTGTTGGGAGCCATGCTGGCTGTGGAGCCTGCTTGAGATTCTCTCTCTCCCTCTACTCCTCCCCCTGCCGCTTGTGTCTCCCTTAAAAAAAAAAAAAGATGAATAAAGTCTGAAGATCTAATGTAAAACATAGTGATTAAAGTTAATAACACTGTATTAGATAGCTGACATTTGCTGAGAGTAGAAACTAAAATATTCTCACACACAAAAAGATAAATATGTGAAGTGATAGATGTGTTAATCAACTAAATGGTGAGAATCCTTTCACTATATATATATATATATATATATATGTATATATATATATCAAATCACCACGATGTACATTTTAAATATTTTACAATTTTGTCTCTTCATTATACCTCACTAAAACTGAAAAAAAAAGAAAAAAATTTCCTTGTCATTCTATCAAGTTTTGCCATATAGGGATGCCTGGATGGCTCAGTCGGTTAAGCGGCTGCCTTTGGCTCAGGTCATGATCCCAGGATCCTGGGATCGAGTCCCACATTGGGCTCCTTGCTCAGCAGGGAGCCTGCTTCTCCCTCTCTCTCCCTCGGCTTGTGCTCTGTCAAATAAATAAAATCTTAAAAAAAAAAGTTTTGCCATATAAATTTTGAGGTTATGTTATTAGGTTCATAGAAGTTTAGAGATCCTTTATCCTTCTGAACTGTTATTATGTAGTGACCCTGTCTATTCCTAATAATGGTTTTTGTTATAAGTAATTTTTCTCTAATATGAAAATACCTACATTTACTTTTGTTTTGTCACCTGGATTCCTGGCTCTCAGAGTTCAGATCCCCTTAAAGGAGAATCCCCCCCTCAATAAAATGAATTCTCATTCTATTGGGAGAATCGAAGAGGGGATAGTTTTCAATATATCTAGTACAAAGGCAGGAAGAGAAACAAGACAATCTTGTTAGGACTAAGTCTGTCTGGGGAATCCATGATTCTTCCTTCCCCAGTATCTGAGTTGGTATCCATTAATCCTTCTTCAGTTCCTTTCTCACCTGGCAGTTTAGAATATCATACAGAAGGTCGTTCTTCTGTGCTAGGTAGCTCAGCAATCGTGTGGCTTGCACCTAAATAAAAAGAAGAGTAAAGCATGAGAAGGCAGGTAAATGTGGGCCTGAGCAGGGAAGGCACAAATCTCTGCTCCTCCCTCTAGGTGCTGTGCCAGCGCTGGTAGGAGGGGCAGGGCCTGGGCCATGGTCCTTAGGCACCTGTGCCAGGATATATTCTGACTGCAGGATCTCCATCAAGGCAGGCATCACCCGTCGCAGCTGTGGATGTACATAGTCAGGCAGTGGGAGGCTGTTGAGGAGTCTGAGGCCGGCAACATGCAGTTCCGAATCCCAGATGGTGGAGATCAGTTCCAGTACCTTGATGGTGTGTTCCTGGGAGGTAGAGGGGGTAGGGCGAGAAGGGTCTGCTTTTATGTGGTGATCCCCAACACTATCCCAGCCTCTGAGTTCACTCTTCCCTCCCCCTACCTATGATGCCCAAGCCCAAACCCAGTAGACAACTCCCTTGAATTTACACTCTCAACATTACTTGACCTGGTTGGCCACGCCTGCCTCCTTTCTGCACCTGGCTTCTCTTCCACAGACTTCTTTCCTGGTTCTTCTGCCCAACCTTTTCTTCTCTATCTTCCTCACTCCCTTAGTGATATTATCCAGACTCAGTGTTAAATACTGTTGATGCTGAGGCCTTTCAAATTTCTGTCCCTAGCCCAGACCTCTCTGGGAAAACTCCAAACTCATATATTCCGGTGCCAAATCCACTTCTTCCCATAATGCTTTTTTCTTTTTTTAAAGATTTTATATTTATGTAATCTCTATACTCAATGTGGGGCTCAAACACACAACTCCGAGATCAAGAGTTGCATGCTACACTGAACCAGCCAGGCGCCCCTTCCCAGAATGCTTGCTAGACCTCTCAGAGTTAACACATACCCAGCCCCCAAACCTGTTTCTCTCACCACCTTCCCTGTCTCTGCTTTTGGTCACACCTCCCTTCCCACTACTCAGGTCAAAAATCTGTGGTCCTCTTTAACTACTTTGTTTCTCCTCACACTGCTTTTCTAGTGCTTCAGAAAATCCCGTTAGCTCTACCTTCAAAATCTGTCAACAGTCAAGCTGTTCCTACCACCCTGTTCCAAACCACCATCAGTTCTCACCTGGACTTCTGCAATAGCCTCCTGTCTCCCTGATTCCATCCTCCCCCCTGCACCCATTTTCAGAACAGCAGACATGTTAGACATGTCACTCTTCTGTTCAAGTCCCTAGCTCATTCAGGGTAAGAGCTAAAGTCCTTACAGTGGCTTACAAGGTCCAATCTGCTCTGCCGCTCTCCCCTCACAATTTCTTTGATCTCATCTCCTATTCTCTTTTTTGCTCCCACGGTTCACATCACAATGGTCTCTTAGTCATTCTTTGAGCATGCCAAGTACACACTTATCTTGTTTTTGCACAGGCTGTTTTCTCTACTTAGAATGCTCTCCCTCCAGATAGTCATAGCTCACTCTCTTACCTCCTTCAAGATTTTACTTTAATGTCACCTTCCCAGTAAGGCCTTCCCCAACCACTCCCTTTTTTAAGATGGCAGCCACTCCCCACCCAGCCTTCCTTATCCTCCATCTTTATTTCATTCTTCTCCACAGCACTGTCACAGGCAACACACTTTTTATTTTCGAATAATTATAAGTTCTCAGGAAGTTGCAAAAATAGCCCAGAGACATCCTGTGGGCGCTTCACCCAGATTCCCTCAATGGTTAACCTTATGTAATTATATGCAGTATGAACACTAGGAAATTAGTATTGGTACAGGTGTGTGCACAGTCTTTGTCATTTTGTCACATATGTGGATTCATGTAACCATCACTGCTATCAACAGACTATTCCATCAGAGTTGTCCCCTCACCACAGAGATCTCCCTCATGGGACTCCATTATAGTCACATTTCCCCCCCTCACCAAAACCGGCCCTCATGACTGGTAACCACTCATCTGTTTTCCATCTCTATATTCTTGTCACTTTGAGAATGTTACATGTTGAGTCCTACTTTGCGACCTTCTGAGATTGGTTTTTCACTCAGTAGAATGCCCTTGAGATCCAAGTTGTTGTATCAATAGTTCATTCCCCTTTCTTTTTTTTTTTTAAAGATTTTATTTATTTATTTGACAGAGAAAGACACAGCGAGAGAGTGAACACAAGCAAGGGGAGTGGGAGAGGGAGAAGCAGGCTTTCTGCAGAGCAGGGAGCCCGACGTGGGGCTCGATCCCAGGACCCTGGGATCATGACCTGAGCCGAAGGCAGACGCTTAACGACTGAGCCACCCAGGCGCCCCTTTTCCCCTTTATTTCTGAAGAGGGTTCCATGGTATGGATTAGCACAGTTTAACCATTTATCTATTGAGAGACATTTTGGTTGTTTCCAGTTTTTGACTAGTACAAGTGAAATGGCTACAAATAATTGCATACAGGCTTTTGTGCAGACATGTTTTCATTTCTCTAGGATAAATGCTTCAGAGTGCAACTGCTGAGTTGTATGATAAATGTATCCTTCATTTTTTATTTAAGCAGGGTCCATATGGAGCCCAATCCAGGGGCCTGAACTCATGACCCTAAGATCAAGACGAGACCTGAGATCAAGAGTTGGATGCTCAACTGACTGAGCCACCCAGGCATCCTGATAGTTCATTTTTAAAAGAAATAGCCAAACTATTTTCTGGAGTGGGTGCTGTACCATTTTATATTCCCACCAGCAACATACGAGAGAGCCCATTTCTATCTTCACCAGCATTTGGTATTGTCACAAATTTTGAGTTTGGACTATTTAATAGGAGTATAGTGCTGTCTCACTGTGGTGGTAATTTGCATTTCCCTAATCTCTACTGATGTTAAACATCTTTTCATGGGATTATATGCAACTCTTAGATCTTCTTCAGTGCTGTATCTCTATGTTTTTTGCCCATTTCCTAATTGGATTTTTAAAAATATTGAGGCTTGAGAGCTCTTTATATGATACAGATAGGAGTCCTTTGTCACATATGTGCTCTGCAAATGTTTTCTCCCTGTCTGCAGCTTGTCTTTTCATCCTCTTAAGAGGTTCCTCCACTAGGCATGTCTTTAGTTTTGATGAAGTCCAATGTATCCATTTTTTCTCTTACAGATCATGCTTTTGGTGTTATTTCTAAGAACTCTTCATCAAGCTCTAAGTCCCAGATTTTCTCTTTTGAAACTGTACCACCCGCCCCATACCAGCTTCCTTGTGGCCGGACTTCATTTTTCTCTAGAGTTAGTCTGGGTGGTGTTTCAGGCAGAGGGAACAGCAGGTGCAAGGGCCGGGGAGTGGGAGAGCATGAAACATACAGTGTGAATGGCTAGGGCTGGGGCAAGGAGGTGGAGGATCATGCTCTTTATGTTGAGAGCCCTGAGGAATACCAAGCAAGGGGTTGATGGGATCAGATCCCTTTGGACAGAGTGGTCTGACTTAGAGAATTGGGGGCAAGGTAGGTCCATTTTTGACATGCTGGGTTAGAGGGCCTCTAGGAAGTCTAAGTGGGGCAACTGGCCCTGGGGTTGGGGGAGTTCCCAGGCTATGGACAGAGATGCAAGAAAACACATCTAGATGAAAACTGAGGCCAGTGAGTGGCTGCTTTTACCCAGAGAGAGAACAGGGATCAGGTCCCCAGGACACCCTGGGGAAAGTATTGCCCAGGCCAGCTGCATCAGAGTCTGCTGGGAGGCTTGTGAAAAACATAGCTCCCCTGCTGAACTAGACTGTCTAGGTGTGGGGCCCTGAAATCTTCACTTTTAACCAGCTCTGCAGGCAATTCTGATATGTTTGAGAATTACAGACTTATGGAAACTCAGAGACTTAAGCGATAAAGTAGAGATGGCCAGCAAGTGGAGACCTAGAGACCTTTTTTTCCCCAAAAAAAGTTTTTTTTTTCCTTTCTATTTTTAAGTAGGCTTCACACTCAACATGGGGCTTGAACTCATGACCCCGAGATCAAGAGTCACATGCTTTACTGACTGAGCCAGCCATGTGCCCCTCTCCAAAAAAGCTTAATGCAAAAAAATCAAAGTGTGAAAATACCAAGTTTGGGGGAGGAAATATAATGCAACGGGAACACTCATGCAGAGCCCGTAGAGCGTGTAAATTGATACAATCCTTCTTGAGAAGTTGGGCATACATTTTCACCCAGCCATTCTACTCCTGCATACAGATCCTAGAGAGTCTCCTATATCCTCAAGGGAGATGTATACAAGAACACTCATGGCACAATGTGGAAACAATTTCAGGGCCTACCCATGGGCAAATGGATAAATAAAATTGCAGGATATTCATGAAGTAGAATACTATACAACGGTGGAAAATAAGGAAACAGAGCTATCCACACCAATAAAGGTGAATCTTTCAATGTTGCGGGGCGGGGTGGGGGAAGGCAAACCACAGAATACAAACTGCATACTTCCAGGTATACGGAGCTTAAAAACATCCCAAACTACATTTTGCCCATTCATTTATTATCTGCCTTGTCTTGCTGGAATATGATACCTGAATATATGGCAAAACTATACAGAAAATCAAGGAATTGATGCACAACATGCAGGAAATAATTGCCTCTGTTTGGGGGAGAGTTTGGGATTGGGGAGGGGCATCGGGAGCATCTAACTTGTTGATCACATTCTATTTCTCAGCCATGCATTTTGTTTTATAGTTCTTTCCACTGTACACATATAAAATGTAAGTTTTCAATATTTTACTTATTTTTAATTCAGGAGAGACCATTTGCTAGAGAGAAATTTGGAAGTCAAGGAAGGAAGGGGGTTCTTTTTTAAGATTGGAAGGATTAGAGCATGTTGAATACTAATGGGAAGGAGTGGGGGGAAGTCCATATCAGACAAAGACGCTAATTAAGGAGAGAGGCCATTAAAGAAGGGGATGGGATCCAGGACTGAGACTAACATTGACCCTAGACAGGAAGAAAACCATGTTTTCCCATAGCATTAGCACGGAAGGATGGGTGTGGAAACAGGTAAGGCTGGGAACATTTCGTGGCTTGTATTTTCTCTACATGGTGGTAGTGAAGGCATCTGTGGCCCAGCCACCAAGTATCAGACCAACACAGCACAGGGGGTGGTATATCTGATCCTCGTCCCTGGTTCTAGGCACAGAGCTCCTAAAATCCATGCATTTGTTGGGTGCCTGGGTGGCATAGTCGTTTGGGCATCCAACTTGGTTTCGGCTCAGGTCCCATCTCAGGAGTTTAGGAGCTCAGCACAAGAGTCCGCTTGAGATTTTCTGCCTCTCCTTCCCACTGCCCCTCCTGTGTGCTGTCTCTCTCTCTCTAAAATAAAATCTTTTTAAAAAATCCTTGCAATTGCCTGATAGAAGGGCCCTTTGTTATTCATAATAAGCTCCTCTCAGTTGCCCCAGAGCTTATGCTGATTAGGTGACTCTTGGTGGATGGTAGACAGCTTCCGGATGGGGGCGCTAAAGGCCGGAAAGGCCAAGCCATGATTAGAGGGTTGAAGAAGGAAGGGACGGGTTAGAGATTGAGTTCACTCACCAAAGGCCAATGATTAATCAATCATGCCTACATAATGAAACCTCCATAAATACCCCTAAATGACAGGGCTCAGCAAACTTCTGGGTTGGTGAACACATCAAGGTGCTAACAGAGTGGCTTGCCTAGAGAAGGCCCAGAAGCTTTGCACCCTTGTCCCCATACTTTGCCCTACATGACTCTTCCATTTGACTGCTCCTCAGTTGTATATTTCATAATAAACTGGTAAGTGTAAGTAAAGTGTTTTCCTGAGTTCTGTGAGTCATTCTAGTGAATTACCAAACCGGAGGAGGAAGTCCAAATTTATAGCCAAATGTACTGGCACTTGTGACTGGCATGGGAAGTGGTGGGGGGGCAGTCTGTGGGACTGTCCTTTGTCCTTTACCTGTGGGACCTGCACTAACCCTAGGTAGACAGTGTCAGAATTGAGTTGAACTGTAGGACACCCCCATTGGTGTTGTAGAATGAGTTGATATCAGAAAGAACCCCAGTGCTTTCTGCTGTTTGGGGCTCAGAGATACTCCTAGCACCCCAGTTCAGTTTCGGCCTGAGATTCAAAGATTTATGACCCTTGAGGAGGGTCTCACTTAATTACAAGGAAAAGCATATTTCTAGGGGCACCTGGGTGGCTCAGTTGGGTAAGCAACTGCTTTCGGCTCAGGTCATGATCCTGGAGTCCCGGGATCGAGTCCCGCATCAGGCTCCCTGCTCAGCGGGGAGTCTGCTTCTCCCTCTGGCCCTCCCCCTCCCCCCTCTCATGCTCGCTCTATCTCATTCTCTCTCTCAAATAAATAAAATCTTTAAAAAAAAAAAGAAAAGCATATTTCTGGATTACAAACACAGACCCAAACAACTTCTGGAACACGACCATTTATCCTATGCCCATTAAAGAACCCATGGACTACGGACATCCTGTGTGCTCTACCCCACCACTTGCCTCTGGGCTCACCTGGATTTTAAGCCTGAATTTTCTGATGCCAGAGAAAGCTTTAAGTGTGTTCAGAGCTTGGATTTTGACACTGTTGTCCTTGTCATCCAGCATGGAGCCCACTAAGCTGATGTCATCAGTAGTACAAGAAGAGGCCTAGAGTGGGCCAGGAGAGATGGAAGAGGCAGGAGAAGCGGGTGTCCTGGACCCACTGCCCCCCACATCACCAAGACCCCTCAGCACCAGCCCTCCCGCCATCAGCCAGAGAAATAGGTCCCAGGACAGGGTCTGGCCAGCCAAGGGAGTAAGGATCAGGTGTAGCCCCAGGGGTTGGGCTGGCTGGGAGGGACCTCCTGCTGTCTTTCCCTTACCTCGGCCTCCAGCAAGTACACACAGCGCGTGATACTGTGCAGGATCATGCTCTTGGCGTACTCATCCTGTTTGTACTCCAAAGAGTTGAGGAGCCTCCGGAGCTCACCCGAGTCCCGCCCGTGCCGCTCTCGCTCGACTGCCAGGCCTAGACAGCCACCCCAGCCCAGTTCAGGTTCTGGACTCAGAAGTGATCAAAGAATGGGGTTGGGAAGTGGGGGAGAGAGAGGGACCTGGGGACAAGGCTGCCTTGCCTTTTCTGAAGAGGCCTTCTTGCTCTGTGCAGGACCACCAAGTACAGCTGAGCCGTGTGTGTGGCAGGAGAGGTGCTATGTCTAATGAGGTGTCATTCAGATCATAAGTGTCCTAGTTTTGAATATTTACTATAACAATTTTCTGGCCCACGGCAGTCATGTCTATTTTGTCATAATCAGTACATGGCAGTGATATCCCAACGGACGGCAATAACACGTCTTGCAGAAGGGTGCCTTTTTCTACTTTGCACAAAGTTGTCGTATGGACTAGTGGAGGCTCTGGGCATGCAGGTGGCCCAATTTTCCCTTAGGGAGAACTGCTAATGCCAAGCTTCCAAGCAGGAGCATCCTGGGAGCTAGAGTGAAGGCAGAATCTGGAGACCTGCCAAATGAGTCCTGAGGATCCACTTGAGTGCCATCTACTCCCTGGGGACTCTGAGCTAGCATCTCTATGGTGGGTTTGAGAAAGATGGAGAAGAGGAAGAAAGGACAGAGGAACTTGGAGGAGTCACCTTTGGGCCCTCCCACACTGGAGGCCTCGGGAGCAGGTGCCTCCTGGGGCAGAGCCCTCTCCCCAGGGCCCGTACACTCACGGGCGATGCAGATGGGTGAGGCAGTGTAGAGGGGCGGCTGGCATTTGATACCAGCCCTGATGGCCTTGTAGAGCAGGTAGATGAACCCAGCACCTGTGGCCAAGCCCACTACACCTTTTCGGATGTCCATTTGCCCCAGGTACTGGGGGATGCTCATACCCATGTCTTCAGTGTGGCCTTGCGCCCGGGTGGGAGCTAGGCCCAAGGCACCTGGCAAGGGCCTTCTGGAACCAGAACTCTGGCAGGGCCAGGAACCAAGATACCAGAATCAGAACCTGGGCAACAAAGGAAACTGGGGAAACGGGATGGAGGGCGGTGATCAGGAAATGGGGCAGCCAGGAGTGCTGGGAAGGGAAGTTTCAGCTTCAGAGGCTGTCGGAAATGAAGCTCAAGACTACGGGAATAAAAAGTCTGGGGGTGGGGCAGGAAGGTCCTTCCCATCCCCTCTTCTTTAGGGAAGCCAGGTTGGTTGGGCCCCAGCAGGCAGCTCTAAAGGCTGATTTCCTCCATTAGAGGGCAGCAGAGGCCCGATTTCTGGGCTCGTTCCTTTGGAAGTTTCTGGGAGGGGTGTTTGGGATGTGCCCATTGGCAACATCATTCTCTCACTCTCTGGCCTCCCATCTTTGATTTCTTCACCACAGATTCACTGCTGGGCCTCGGGGTGTTTCTGCAGGCAGGGCCGCCGTCCATCAAGGGGAGCACTTTATGAAGTCTTGCCATCCTCAGGCAAACCCATCATCTTCCAGAAACTGTAGTTCCCCTGTAGTGGGTAAGTTCTACCTGTCTGGCCAGAAGCTCTTGAAGGCAGCTCTCTCTGCATCTCCAACAACCGGTAGAGTCTTGCACTTAGTAGGTGCCCAAATCATGACTTCTGTCATTCTTTGAGGACTTGAGGAATCTGGTTATGGGGGCTCCAGGCCCATTTAACCAGTGTGACCCTGGAGGAGGGACTGCCCTTGCCTGGGTCACAATCTGTGACTGTTTGCAACCTGGGGGGGATCCACATTTACCATTCTATAACTCCAGGATTACAATTTGGGTAGATGTATGCCTTTACATGATGGGGGCCTAAATCTGGGAGTACCACAGTCCAGTGCCCCGCACCCCAGTGCCCGGCACCCCGCCCCACCCCATCCCTACAGGATTAGATGAGGCCTGAAGGCCTCCTGTGGAGTCAGAAAATGCCACCATCCCAGAAACATGAGAGTCCAGCTTTGGAGGACTTGGTCTCCCCCAGTAGGATGGGGCAGGTGAGAGCGGACCCTTCTTTCTCCCCTTCCCCACTTGGCCCCATACCTGTGCCTCGCCTCCTCATACAGAACAGGGAGGTGACAGGCCCTGAGCCAGGCTCAGGCCCAGAGCCAGCATGGAGCATCGTTGTACCAGAATAGATCTTCACCTGCCTGGCTTTGAGCTCCTGTTGGAAGGTTCTAGGTCATGGGCTACACCTGGGCTTGAAGGAGGCGGAGAGATGGGGAAATAGCATCCTCAAGGCTGCTGCAGCCAGCCAGGCCTGACTGCTCAGAGCCTTCACCCATCACACCCCAGGCTGTAGGCAACACTCTCAGGTGGCTGTTCTTTTCCTTTCCTATCTACTGTCCTTGGCCCTCCTCAAGCTCATTTGTAGCACTCTACCCAGTCCCAAGGTGGGTGACTACATGGACTCTGCAAGGAGGGGTAACAGAGGCCATGGAGGCCTCCTGCTGCCATAGAACCACCTGTCATGCCCCGTGAACTCCAGGCAGGAAATGGCTGCCTGATAGGACTGCTTTAGGTTCCAAGGCTACCCTAGTGGATCTGAGGATAGATCCTTCAGAACAAGGTTCCCGCCCTTCCCTGGGGTAGGAACCACAGCTGCTGACCTCTCCAGTCCATGGACTTGATTCTGCAACCCTCGTTTCCTAAGCAAATGCAGTGCTCACCTGTTCTTTAAAAGCTTCCAAAGAAGGAGTGTTCCTTCTTGGCTTTAACCTAACTCCTTCCTGCTACACCTAAAGCCCACTTCTTTTGGTTCTGCTCTCAAGTGATGCAGAGGGATGAAGAGGCCGAGGCCATCCCCAGAGTGATATTTCATTAGTCCACAGCACAGTGGAAAACACACAGAGGGAAGTCCACTTGTTGGTGTGAAGTCAATGACTGTCCCTTCTCGGGAATGACTGCTTCTGATTTAGATGAGGTCTTTCTTATTTTGAGAATTAAAATGCATTTGCTTTTATGAAATGATGGTGCTAATAGATGATAGTTGTGTTCTGAGTGTTCTTATGGTGCATAAATTAAAGCTGCAACTTTGTAGGAACGTGGCTTTTGTTTTCTTGCTTTGTTTCTTCTGTCAAATTCAAAGATCTGGAATCACTGACTAGAGAGAAGTCTGAGATTCCATATACACACAGCCTCCAAGTTTCTTACCTGTCCTCACCAAGGCAAAAAGACCTGGGTTGCCCGAGTGCACACCTCTGTCAAGTGCACTGGCTTTCTACATTCAAAGCTGGTATTGCCATCATGGTAAGTGCAATTTACTTTAGTGAAGGAGATTGTGGGCTCTCGCCAGACTGCCAGGATTCATAACCAGTTCAGCCACTTAGCTTTGTGCTCTCTTCGTACTTGACTTTCCCCACCTGTAAAATGGGAATAATAATGTCTGCCTCATGGGATTGTTTGTGAGGCTTAAATACTTGAAACAGTACCCAGTATGCGGAGCCCATTAAATGTCAACTGTAATAATTATTATTATAAGCAGGTTTCACCTAGACAAAAATGTAGGGTGTGGGAAAACAGTGAGCACACAGTTGGTGGGCCTCAATGACACCCGAAAGACACATTATTCTTCTGGTCTACCCCTCCCACTCTGCTCTTCTTCAGACTAATCAATCTCCATAACCCTAATCCACTTAATTGCCTTGAGCAACTCTGGAGCCCTCTTTGAAGCCCTCCCCCCAAATACTTACCAGCCCATTCCCCACCTATGAAACCTCAAACTCCCAGCTCTGGTAATGAGTGTTTCAGCCTAGTTAATTAGAAAAGGCTAATAGGCTACTGGGGGCCTACCATGCAAGACACAGTGCTAGGCCATTACGGTGGGTGATTCTGGAGAGGGGCGGCGCTTGTATGCACAGGACAAGCCAAGGGGAAATTAGCGTACTCTATAGTGAAAAGCTCACTGGAGTCCCTGTGGGCTTGGGTTTGGGCAAATTCCATAATCTGAGCCTCAGTTTCCTCCTCCGGAATACGGGTCTATAGACACCTACAGGAGTGCGGCTGTCAGACTGAAGGAAAGAACGTATGTTGTGACTCTCGGTGAACCGGTGGGGGCGGGGCAATCCACACCTGCAAGCTCCCCCTCCACCCCCCGTAGAAAGCCAGAAAGTAGAGAGGCGAAAGGCTGGGGGTGCCGCCCGTGCCCTGACGTGGACCCCACACTCTCCGAGACCGTCCCCTCCCCAGCTGGCGCTTACCCCGGCCTAGGAACCAGAATCGGGGGCCTCTTGGCAGCTCTTTACTCCAACGAAGGCGTAGGGACGGGGAGAAACGCGACGAAAGCACTGGGAGCGGTGCCCCCAGAGGAGGAGGGCCGGGTGGGGGGCGGAGGCCGCGCCTTTCCCCGCCCCGGGCCTCCCCCCCTTTTGCCCCCCCCTCCCCGGACTACCTCCTCCCCAGGCGCGCATCCGGCGGCGGGCACAGGATGTTCTTTCGCTCCCGTCCCCCCCAACCCGCCCCCGCTCTCACTTTCCCTTCGCTCCCTTCCCCCACTCCCGCCGCGCCCGGCGCCGGCACCTTGTTTAACCCCTCCCCTCCCGCACTCCGCGGCGCCCCGGCGCCCCCTGGGCTCCCACCCTTCCCGCCTACCCCCCAGGACGCGGAGCGTGCCCTAGGGCTGCCCGGAAAGGGGCGGGCCTGGGCCGAGTGCCGGCCCGCGTTCTCGGGATCCATTGGCCGGGTGGGGGTGAAGGGGTGGAAGTGGATCCCAAAGGCTGAAGCCGGCATTCTGCGGACCCCAGCCAGTTCACCGGCGCCGAGTGGGCTGGGGGTGGGGTGGCCGCCCTCGAGCGAGCCACGCGCCTGCGGGAGGGGGGCGGCCAGGTGGGTGTGGTTAACTCCAGGCCCGGAGGCGGACAGTAGGGTCGAGGACCCGAATCTCATCCTCTCCCCAGGTCGGGGTAGGAAGGGGCCAGGGACTCCGGGAGAGGATGGAGAGAGGTCACGCCCCTCACATACACGTCACTGTTTCCAAGGCAACCGAGGGCGGGGAAGCGGGCGGGAGAAGACCTTAGAGAAAGGAGGCTACCCGAGGCTTTGGGACCCGGGTGGGGGTGGGGAGGCGGCGGGGGCGGGCTTTTCAATCTGTTTCTCCACTCGCTGCTGCTGCTGCAAGAAACTGAGGGGAGGACCGGTTCTGCTCATTCAACAAACGCTCATTGAGCTTGAGCTCTGCTTGGCGCCCTCCTTAGGCGCTGGGCTACCGCGGCTGGGGATCCGAACCCTGCCCTCACCCGTCATTGTGCCTTAGGGTAGGATGGCCTTGCGCTCCGGGTCACGTCTGTAGAACCGGTGTAATGATTACTAGTATCCTTTTTCACGCTTAAAAGTGTTCCAGTATGGGGGGGACTAGTTAAGGAACTCTGTCCTCCAATACAGGAAAGGCTCCAACCATACAGGGAAGGAAGACAAGCCATTGTCTGATCACTATGCAACAGGCAATTTCTTGGCCCTTTGTAGTCTCTGTGTAGTCTTTACCCCTCGTTCTGCAAAGTTATCACTAGCGACTTTTATAGATGAAGAAACTGGCTCAGAGAGGTTGAGAGACTTGCCCGAGGCCAAACAGCCCAGTATTGGAATCCAGATCCAGGTTTACATGGCCTCCAAAGTTGGAGTGTCCTACCTCATGCTTCCTCCTCAAAATAAGTAGATTTTATTAAATAAGCAAATGAAAGATTCTATCACTGCCATGAAGGAGCTTATAATCTATGGGGTTGAAAATACTACAGCACATAACTAAGCAACAGAATAGAGAAGAGATTGAAGGCAGCTCCTAAGGCTCAGAGGGAAGCTGACAAAATGATCAAAGTTGGGTGGAAATTATCAGAGCCTTCCTGCAGGAGGTAGATTTTGAAGTGCCTGGGCCAGGATCACGGGGACTGTGTGTGTGTGCGCGCGCACAATGCGGTGCCAAGAAAGAACAATCTAAGGGTATCAGACCAGGGATTCAGAGCTACGCAGGCTGGAATCTCCAGTTGTGAAAAGATCCCTCTGTAAACCCGAAGTCACTGGTTGGGCCACTCACCTTTCGGCCTTCCACCCTCCTCTGTGGGTTTCATTTCTTAGGGAAGCAGAGGTTTCCAGCAGGGCAGCTGCACTCATTCCACTCTGCACTCAAAGTCTCTGCAGTTGGCATTTGGCACAGACTCCTTGACGTTAACTTGGATGTCAGCTTCTCCCTTCCCCACCCCTCTCTGAAGATTTGGTAGATAAAAATTGTGACTTTTCAAAACCAAAGGGCCTGAGCAAGTACCAGGAACCAACACGTTCGATGGGAATGGGGAGACCGAGTCAGGAGAGAAAGATGAGAAAGCACAACCAAGTGGGTTGGTCACCTGACTAACATCTGCTGTCCTTCTGCTAGGTACCAGGCCCAGGGCTGGCCTCTGTGATCTGGGCACACCACGAATGAGTCCAGGTCCCTTCATGTGGAACACACAGCTGAGCAGCTGGTGTACCCAGTGTGCTTGGTTGAGGAGTCTGAAGCTGAAAGCATACACAATAAACAGCGTTTGAGAAACATTATTCTAGTAGGCTAGGCAGGAGAAAGGAAAAACGTAGGTCAGAAAGGTGTGGCAGAGGCTGTGGGAATTTGAGCCAAAGGTGGAACCTATGGGGATAGAGAAGAAGAGGCAAATGAGAAAAATAAAGGAACAATAAACACATCTTGTAATAAAAGCAACAAAAGGAGGAATTTGGTAGTGGATCAGGTACAGGATGGTGAAGGAGAGAAAATAGTTAAAAATTAACCCACCTTCGTGGTGAGTTTGGGGGATGGGAGAGTCACAGTGGGCAATGGGGAAGAGCTGGTGTGAGCCACATGAGGACGAGTTCAGTCATTTCCAGGTCATGTGTGGGCAGGTGTCCCGTGGGTGACTGGACTTGGATATAGGGAAGTCCAGAAGGGCAGTGGGCTGCCTTGTGAGAGTGTCCCTGTCACTGTAGGTATGCAGACAGCTTCAGGGACAATGACTGACCTGGGACATCATGGACAGATTTTACACATTAGGTAGAAGGTTGGAGCTGATGACAGTTAAGGTACCTACCTCCTGGCTGGGAGATTTGGTGAGCATTGGCTGGATGAGCACGTATATGGGAAAAATGACTATCTGTGTGGGAAGGGGGGTCCATGGCCCAGGCCTGCATCAGCATCCGTCTCCTCAGAGGAGGCCAGAGATGCCATCAGATGGCCCAGGGGCATGAGGCCCAGGTGAGGCACGTCAGCTGCCTGGGGTCCCTCCCCCAGCCCCACCCTCCAAGGCCCTGGAGCCCAGGCCTGCGCCTGCTGCCAGGGCTTTCCTGGAACTCAGCAGAGGACGGAGCCCCTCCCTGCCAGCCCTGGCACACTCCAGGCACAGCGTGTCCCCTGGGGCACCTAGCAGACACCCCAGGAGGCTAGGGTGTGGGACAGGTCTCTGCCTCCAGGAAGCGTCCTGCTCTGGGCTGCCATCTGAGCTCCCTGCCCTGGGCTGTCAGCCTCAAAGTGGCCCTACCAGGACGGCAGGCACAGAGGAGGAAGAAGCTTTGTGGCTGGGTGGCAGGATTCATGGGTCTTTGTTGTGGCTTTGGGTGGGAGGGTGGGTAAGGCAGAGAAGCAGGGTCTCAGGCTTCAAAGCACCTCCCCACCTGTTTCTCCCTCCTTCTGAGGAAATCTTCAGGGGCCTAGTGGTTTTGAGGGGAGGGGAGGGGACAGGAAGAGGCTCTAAACTCTGGGTCAGCCAAGGACAGAGGTGGGGGAGATGTTCTTGCCCTATATCCCATTTCTCTCAGCACCCTCTTCCTGTGCTCCCCACCACCCTAGAACAAATTTCCACCCCCATCTGCGGCGATGAGTTACATCCGCCACCAAGACCTCCAGAGGCCTCCCAGAGTGGTGGGCTTTGGTGGAAACGGGACTTGTACACAGAAGCTGCAGGCCGGGCCACACCTGCCCAGTGGCTGGAGGAGAGCGCCCCTCCCGGGTGGGCCGAGCCTGCTCCGCTCAGGCTGGGGGCCGTGCGACGCTGGAAACGTAGGGGCGAGAAGGCAGAGGGATGCGCAAACGGGCCACGTGGAGGTCCCGCGCGGCAGGCAGGGGCGGGAACAGGGGAGCCGGTCGTGCGCCCGCCTTCCCCCCCCTCGCTCGAGGGAGCCTCCGAGAGTTGGGTCGTCGCTGACCGCAGGCTGCAAGAGCGGTTGATCTGGTGAGCGAGCACACCCACTTACCCAGCTGCTGAGTCAGGCTGTTCTCGCTCCCCGCTCGCCCGCCCGCTCGGGACATTGTGTTCCAGCCCCGGCGCGCTGGCACCGGGCCCAGGCGCTCACACCAGCCTCCTCGCCCTGTTTGTGCTCGCGGCTTGCGCTCGGCGCGCAGCCTCCCCGCCGCCGCAGCCTCCCCGCCGCCGCAGCCTTGCGAGTGCGCGCTGGGGCCGGGCCAGGGGCGGCCGGGGGCCGGTGCGGAGCCGCGGAGCCGCGCGCCCAGGCGGCGCGGGGGAGGGGGGCGCCGCCCAGCCCGGGCTGCAGCCTTACAGCACTCAGACCTCTCCATCCCCCACCTGCACCCCGCTGTGGAAGCCCAAGTGTGTGCGAGGCCCGAACAGCACAGTTGGCGGGGCGGGGGGGCAGGTGTTGGTAGCTCCCTGAGGGAGACCGAGCCGCCCAGGCTGCCGCCCGAGCCCCACCGGCGCTCGGTCCAGTCCGGAGGATAGCTGCGAACGCGCCAGCCCCACACTTGGAAGACCTGGGATGCAGTCACGTGACAACGGAAGCCCGCTGGAGGGGGCCGATGCGAGCGATCCCCCGGAGGAGCCTCCACGGGCCTCGGACCCCCTTCCCCGACCGCTCTTCACACCAGCCTGGAGACTCCAGTGATTCCCAGGGGCTGGCGAACCAAGCCCAGCCCTCTGGGATAGCTTGGGAAACCCCTGGCGGGGCGCCAGGACTACGAAGAGCCCAGGACGGCTGGGTGGAGGAGACGACCCCAAACTGGAACGTGACCCCTCCCTTTGTTCCAGCCCCAAACCCGGATTTATTCAGAGCCATGTTTTCTCTTTACCCATCCGTCTACAGAAAGACGTCACTGAGTGCAGTTCCTGAAGGTTCCACGTCTCCAAACCGAGGAGGGGACAAAGGACTTATCTCCTGAGCACCTACCATATGGAAGGCTCTGTTGGGCCCTGCTAAGGACGTCATTAGAAAGTTGAAGACACAGTTCCGAGAGCCCTTTCATCTCCCACCTTCCAACCTCCACAGTGTGCTGTGCCATTTCTCCTGCCACCAGCGCCCATCCTCCGAGTCTACCCATCTCTTAAGCTCCAACTGCTAAAGCCGGCTTG